TTTGCCCCTATTATCTCCAGTCCAGGATAATGCCAGCAACCTCCCTCCAAACTTCCATAACTTTTGGTTACCTCAACTCTGTGATACACCAAAAATGATGAAGAACAGATACATTTTGTTCTTTCCCTCTAAATAAATGTTTAAGGAATATTTCTTTTATCAAGGATGGAAGAGCTAAAGCTGGACATTTTCAACCAAACCAGGCTCTGGTTGCAGCGATGCTACCACAATGGTCTACCACTGTAGACCCATCCAACTCCTGGCACGTGCATCTGGTAAGACCCTTTACTTAAAACAATAGATGGTGGCTCCAGTTCTGGTAAAGTCACTTTCTACTTTATCAAATGCACCTAAAAACTACTGTCACACAATTCAATTAGCACCAGCAGGAGAGGATATACTAAATTACAATCATGACTCCAAGTATATCCTTTTATATTTAATACCTATATTTATATTTAATTCAATATTATATACCTATAAAAGGTATATCCTTTTATAGTTAACATTTTGATCGCTAGAGTTAACTTTCACATCATTAATAAATGCAAAAAACAAGTCAAACCTAAAACTGCCCTAAAAAAACAAAATCTTAAAAAAAAATCAAACTAAAAAACCTAATGATTTAACTTACTTAATACTATAACTCAGTCAACCACAGTAAAAACTATGGGAATTATAACATATTATCCATACATACCTTAATAGACTGTTAGCAGATATGTGTAACTTTTCAACCAATACCCATACAAAGAATATCTTTAAAGAATGAAAAAGTATATTCTTCTCTTGAAATAGAATGTCCTCTGCAGGAGAGGAGTGAGCCTTGAGCACTGGTAATCTCACAAAGTCAATGTTCACTTTTATTTGTATCCATACCTCCTGATCATCCACCTCCAGTCAGGAGGAAGCTGGGAAAGTCTACAGAGCACAGAACTGGGAGGGCATAGGTCGCCAAGCTTTCTAGGTTCATGGCACCCTCAATATTTCAGGAATTTTTTCAAATCATCCCTAAGCCAAGAAATAATAACAGTACTTCTCATTAAACTGTTAGTAGCCATTTGAAAAACTAATCTACCTCAGCTGAAAAAAATTACATTTTTTACTTCATTCTTCAATAACCATAATTCTTATAGAATGTATATTATAGTTGGGCACTGCACAACTTCTCAAATACTGGGATCAGACTGGACATTGCTATCCTTATTTCCTATTCCACGCTAATTTTCATGCAAAATTAGCATTTTATCACAGCAGTTCCCCAAAACCCAACTTCACAAATGTGTGTCATCAGAAGGAATGTAGCACAATCTAATGTTGAAACCATGTACTATCTCAAGCTAGTAGATCATCTGGCAACCACCAAATGTCAAGTACTGCTGCATCTCCATTGAAAATTTAAACTACCAGACAGTGTCTCTGCAAGTTGTTGGCAATACCCTGAGGCACCCTGGTACAGTTTGGCAAGCACGGCTCAATGGCAAGGTAGAATTGTGTGGCCTGGGACTCAGACAGACCTGAATTAGAAATCAGACTCTAGTAATAACTGTATAATCTTGGGCACTGGGCCACTGAATCAATCTCTTGAACCTTAGTTTCTATGCCTGACAAATAAGAATAACAGTGCCAACCTCAGAGAATAGTTGTAAGGAATAATGAGATGATGTTTGCACATAGTAAATGCTCAATAAAAGTTTGCTATAATTACATCGTTAAAACTAAACGAGTAGTTTATAAAAACAAATTTCATAACTGACTCCATGGGGGATGAAGGAAGCATTTTAAACTGAAGCCACAATATCAAATTAAAACTTATAAACAAATTTCTAGGGGAAAGATCATAAAGTACTTAAACAAGGACAATACAGAGAACTACAATCTCCCCCAAAGGATGTTCTAACATTGATACACCGATCACAATGAACAACTAGGTAAAAGTTATTAAACTGGCAACTCAGAAGAATATACTTTAAAAAACACCTTTTATGGATAATCACACTAGGAAAAAACCGAAAGTTTTATAAACTAGAGTTCTTTAAATGGCACTACGAATTGCCTCTTAAAAACACTTAACAGCCTGGGGATCGCGGGGTCGGATCCCGGGTGCAGACATGGCACCACTTGGCATGCCATGCTGTGGTAGGCGTCCCACGTATAAAATAAAGGAAGATGGGCACGATGTTAGCTCAGGGCCAGGCTTCCTCAGCAAAAGGAGGAGAATTGGCAGTAGTTAGCTCAGCGCTAATCTTCCTCAATAAAATAAATAAATAAATAAATAAAAATAAAAACACTTAAATTTATGTAGAGCAAAACTCATTTGATAACAAAGACTTTTCCTCAAGAGCACAATACCTCAATATTATACCTGTGCTCAAACCTCCTTCTCACAACATACTAAAAATTTAACATTTTAATTCTAAATGCACTTGTGTGTCTTCTATCTCACAAACATCCTTAATAAAATTCATAATATAAGAATGTTTATAAGGACTGAGTTTATGAAAGGATTTTTGAAACATTTCATTTGATCCTCAGATACTCTAATTACTGAACTGAGGTCCACAGAAATTAAGTAATTTGCCCTACAATCTATATATTACACTGTTTGTCACTAAAACCCCTGTCTTTTAACTTTCTAGTATACCATAACTCCTTCCCAAAAAGACTCAGTTCAGCTCTCGTTAGCTGGACCAGCATTTATCAACGATTACAAGTAGGTTAACCATCATCAAAGGCCTTAAAATCCTTCCCCTGCACAGTAACTGCATGTCACCTGCAGAGACTTTTCATTTGCCAAGTGTCTTGAACTATGTAACATTAATTAATAATTACTCTTAGCTCACCTTATGACAAGATCTATTATTATAGTTGCAACTATACCAACGGTAATGCAGTGGCTGAGCCCACTGGTATAACCTCTTAGCCCAGATTATTTCCCATTTTTTACTTAGCTGTTGGCCCCTTGCTCAACTCCAGATAGAAAAGCAACATGAAGTATTAAACTGATCCTGATATTTTTTCTTCTGTTACTAATATAAGTCAGTGGCCAAAATACTTAAAAGGAATGGAAGGGCAAGCAGTCTTGTATACCACCCAAAATACAATGCCATCACAGAAAGTCTATGCCTGCCTTTCAACTTGTTCCAAGAAAATTTCAACAACAATTTACCAGCAATCTCTTTCCCCAAATTCCCACATTTCTGATAGATACATTACTATCATTTCCTAAAAGCAACTTACTAAGGCATTCTACTTCACAAAAAAAAAGGCTATTTCCTTAAAAATTGAATGTAAATACAATTGGATAATGAAATTACTATATTGGAGAGCTTAACTTTTAAAGAAATTCTGCAGGAAGTCTTTATATAATGTAACTAATCACTCTCTTATTTTGTACTATAAAAAATTAGCTTTCTATATGCTAGAGTTTGTTAAGGGTAAAGGAGATTTGGACAGGTAAGAGATATAGGCCTGTACCACAAGTGTATTAATTTGAGTGTTTGATAGCCACAACACCACTTTCTCTCTAAGTAATATTTTGAAGAACTTCACACTTGGGTCCTTCCTAGCAATGTAAATGTATTCTGTGAACAGAAACTTCTTCATTTCCGTGGAGAACTAACGAGCGACCCTGCTTTTTTGGAAAGGAAATGGCTATCAATCTTGTACAATATCCAATCCACTTTGGCCACCTAATACGGACAAGAAGGGGGGGGACCTATTTGGCAAACGTTTCGTCTCCAGCCAAGGGCTGTTCCCAGATAAAGGCAATGCTCAGAGTACAACAAAAAAACCCTCCTCCGAGGGGAGAAATGTGCCAGAAAAGGAGAGGCATAGATCGGGAATAAATAGGGGGTGAGCGTATGCGCTCAGTGTGAGAGCTGGAGGCAAAGAGGAGCAACGCTGAGATGCTCCAGCGAAAGAACCAGCAGCAGCAGCAGCAGCAGCAGCAGCAGGAAGTTTCAATGGGGCCGGGCAGAGCATGCGCCCTGCACCCGCGCGGTGGCCTTATGTGGAAGGAGCACCACTTGCGAACACCAATAATAGACCAGCGGCACCAGAGAGAGAAACATGAGCAACAAGCACCTTCTTCAACTGTTTCCCCCTCCGTCTGAGCCCCTCCTCCAGCCTACATACTAACCACCCCACCCTGCAAATGGGAGGGCGACTTCTTCTTCCCCTAAGCCCTGCTGCCAAGATGAAGGGGGAAGGGATTGGAAAAGTGGGGAGATGCTTTTCTATTATTTTGGGGGAGGTAGGAAGAAGGAGGAGGAAAACTATGGGGGAGGAGAAATTAACCCTCTACTCTCCAAAGTGGAGAAGCTGAACCGACTTCGCTCCGCAAAGCGAGAATGGAGGAGGACGCCCTCCCATGGGGGAGGAGCAAAGCTCATTACTCGGAGGAAGGAGTTTTGGGGGTTAAACTGGCCCTCGAGGGGAAGAGAAGAGGGACGTGAGTCGACTCTCTCGGGGGAGTTCCCACTAGAGGGAGGGAGAGCTTAAGTGTCCTCCACCCAGGTGGAGGGAGAGAAAGGGGCGCCCCGAGAAGATGAGCCCAGCCTCCCCTGAGATGGTCGGGAGGATGGTAGGAGGAGGGGAGGGAGCAAGGGAGGGGAGGAGGAGAAAAGCGCAAAGCTGGCCGGAACCTGCGCTCCCCTTCCCCCGCCACCGAGAGGGAGAAAGGGTGGGGGGCAGGCCCCCGCCGCGGGGTAGCAGTCCCAGGGGCAGCCGACCAGCACAACGAGCCCTCCCCGCCCCCAGCCCACACCTAGCCCGCGACGCCCCCACCTCCGCTCCGCGCCCGGCCGAGTGGCCCTAGGGGGCCTCCGCCCCGCCTCCCCACTGCCCTAGACCCCGGGGGCTGGGCGGAGAAGACCCGCCGGGCGGAGCTGTGCCCCAGGGGGAGGACAGAGCCGCGGAGGCTCCGGGTGTCTGTGAAGAGCCAAGCGAAGGAGCGTGCCAGGGCCGCTTCCCGCCGGGCGTTCGGGCCCCTTGCTTACCTTCTCCGTTGCCGACGTCCGGCGGCGGCGCCTGCAGCACCCGCTCCAGCTCGGGGAACGGCAACTCAGGCAGGTCGAGCAGCGGCCCGTAGCGCTCCAAGAAGGAGCAGACTACGGCGAAGTTGGGGCACGAACCCGGGCAGCCCGGAGGAGCCATCGCCGCCGCCGCTGCCGCCGCCGCCGCCATTTTGAACTGGAGGATGGAGGAGGAGGCGACGGGGGGGAGTTGGGGTGCCGAGAAATAGCAGGGCAGCCTTACGGACGACAGGAGGTGCTAGCGAGTGGGCGCCCCTGCGGATCCCAGCGTCTCAGGCGCGGCGCCGCGATCCCACAATACAACGGCAGCCCGGAGCAGTCGAGAAACGAGTCAGACGGGGGAAAGAGAGGCGCTCTGTGCCTTTCACTTTCCGCCCCCTTCCCGGCCTCCGCTTCGCCCCGCCCCCTTCGGGTTTGCCACTGCCTCGTGTGACAGGGGGAATGAAAACAAGGGAAGCGGGGTAGGGAGGCGGGCTGGAAGCTAGGGGGCGGGACTTTTTAGGAACGGTGACCAATAGACTCGGAGGGGGAGGGGCTTAGGGGAAGTCTAGCCGAAAGGCCTACTTGGGGCGGGGCGAGTGTGGGGAGCGCCTGGCCGTGAGACCAGGAGCAACCGAGGTACGAGGTAAAGCACGGAGCCGTTGGGGATTGCCACTCGCGGAGAAGCGGGCGTTGGGTGAGTTTTGGCCTGTGGTCCGGGAATTACAGCTGGGCCACGAGATGGTGGGGGAGGTTGAGGAGAGTGAGTGAGAAGCAGAAAAAGAGGAGAATACAAAAAAAGCAGGATTCTGGGAGAATTTGGAAAAGGGAAATGTAGAGAAGTGCCCTTAATTAGGGGTTGGAATGGGACCTTTGTAAGAAGTCTCTGCGAAAGTTTGCTGAGGGGTGCTGCTGTCTGCTGCGCCACAAGAATCGCAGCTGTGCTGGAAAAAGCAGGGTCTGAGGAGTCGAGGACGAGGGTCTGAGGGAACGGGGCCCTGCGGGGATCGTCAGTCGGAGGAGTCGGGCCCTGCTAAGAGATCGGGGTCTGAAGGGACCAGGCTGGGCAGGGAGACGAAGGTGCGAGGGGACAGGGCTCTGCTGTGGTTGCCAGGGCGAGAGGGGGAGGGGCTCTGTTGAGGCACGAGGGTCTGAGGGGACGAGGCTCTGTAGGGGCCGAGGGTCGGAGCGTGGGCTGGGACTCCACGGAGAGGGCGGACGTGGTAGGAAACTTGGCACAAGAGCAAAAAGTTTGCTGCAAGATGGGCTTCCGCTTTGTTGGGGGTAGCAGTGAGTATTCTCTCGCAAAGAATCTCAGAAAAGCCATCAATAATGCCAAGTTGGGTGTGCGGCTTGTTGTGCAGGGTGCGTTGTGGTTCCGGAGCCTGAGCTTTGGAATCCACCCAGACTGGGGTCCCAGCAGCACCGCTTCAGGACATTGCGGAGGATTCTTCATTTCTTTGGGCCTCTTGTGAAGGAGCAGTGACACTAGTAACTACATCATAGGGTTTTACTAGATAATTCACAGGAAATTGGTTAACACAATTCCCTGGTACATTCTAGGTACTTTAAACATGTTAGTTGCTATTGTTGAAGAAAGGAGTTCCTAAAATTTAGATTGAGTTCAGCTGTAACTTATAGTTTACTACTTTGAGCCAACATTTTCAGCGTGCGTTTAAAACTTACATAGTGCCTATTTCCTAAAAAGAGTTCGAAACTAGGTAAAATATAAACAGGTAAAATAGAACAATTTATGATTAAAGAAAGACAAAGAAATATATAGGCAAATAATTGTATTGGGAACAGAGGAAATAACGCAACCAAAGATTGAATTTTGTTCTGCGTTTCTAGGTAAAAAAGGGAAAAACCACAATGGTCTATATCTTTCTCATTATCCAAAGAGAGAAAGTATACTCGTTTCTCACGAGAGAGAAATCGTATATTGTAAGAGGAATTTATTACCTAAAATACTGATTCCTAATCTCGATTAATATACAGATCCTTTTTAAAGGAAAAAAATTATCTTTTGAAACTTATTAAATACTCTTAAATTCTAGGTTAAGGAAAACTGCTGTAAGAAATTAAAGTCTACACAACAATGTGAATGTACTTACTACCATTGAACTATACACTTAAAAATGGTTAACATGGTAAATTTTATGAATGTTTTACCGCAATAAAGAAAAGTAAAAAAAAAAAAAGGAATAAAGAAAGTCAAGTCTTACTTTAGGAAAATGTCTATGGTTGTGAATTATCATAGCAAAAGAGAAGTTTTAGTTTAATGTGTGGTAAATATTGTTTTTAAGCAATGCTGAAATTAGACACAAGACTAAACTAAAACATATTGGTAGACTCTCAAACTGGCCAAGTATATAGCGCAACACCTGGGGCCCTGAAGACCCCAGTTTAAGAAAAATCTCACCCAAACACATCTTTACCAACAGTCTTGCAGCAAGAAAGAAAAAAAATCTTCATTAAGACCTTGTTTAACTGAGCTTAAATAAAAGGCAGGTACACAATATTAAATAAAATCATATCTTTGTGAAGGAATTTTGATAGAAAGAACCTTCAAACCAAAAGGAAGAATTCTGTCATTTTGTGAACCTTGCCCACCCCTCATTTCCTTTCCATCCCTTTGCTTTCAGTTTTTTCAGCATCTCAGCTCCTGCTCTTCCATGGGGTTGTAAAATAGCATTCTAAAAACAAAAAGCTTTATTCTATAGATTTCTTTTCTCAGTGCTCACAGTGTTGTGCAAAGGACACTGATAAATAAGGTTAGAGTTTCTGCCTTTTGTCATTCAGATTGGCATGGGAACAAAGTCCTTGGGCATCTGAAAGTTATATCCACCCACAAGATAAGAGATGTTTTACTACAGAGCAGGGTGAAGGTCCTACCTTTCCTAAGTCTGTTCTTGAAAAGAAAATAAAGGACAAACACCTGTAATACCACATCTCTTCTTGGCGTTCTGGGCTAAGAGAAGTTGTGGGTTACAAGAGTCTAATCCCAATTTATGTAGTTAAGTAACTGACTTAAGTATATCAGACTACAGTGTAAAGATAGAAAAACAGTCACTTTGTTTTTTTAAAAAAAATTGCAATGATTTATTGCTACTGCCATGAAGAAGCATTTAAATAAGCATTAAATTGCGGACACTCAGTCTAACTTTGTTTATGAATAAGGAATTTCTTAAAATAGTTCAAATTTTAAAAACCTCAATTTGTTCATTCAGAATTGTCTAGTTTATTCAAAATAGCAAAAAGTCAAAAACAACCCAAATGTTCATCAACAGAAGAATGGATAAATAAATTGTGATACAGTCCCACAACAGACTGCTATTCATACTGATATACACTTGATACACACTACAACGTGGGTGAATCTCAAAAGCATGTTGAGTGAAAGAAGACAGACATAAAAGAGTAGGTACTGTACAATTCCATCAATAGGAAGGTTTAACTAACCTTTGAGAATAGAAACCAAAACGGTTTCTTTTGAGCTTGGAAGGGGATTGACTAGAAAGGGGTACAAGGAAACTTTCTAGATACTTTCTGTATCTTGATTGGCAAGTTTGTGCATTTGTCAAAACTCATTGAGCTCTAGGAGCCGGCCCCATGTCTGAGTGGTTAAGTTCTCGCGCTCTGCTTCCGTGGCCCAGGGTTTTGCTCGTTCGGATCCTGGGCACAGACATGGCACCGCTCATCAGGTCACGCTGAGGCAGCATCCCACATGCCACAACTAGAAGGACCCACAACTAAAATATACAGCTATGTGCTGGGGGGATTTGGGGAGAAAAAGCAGAAAATGAAAAAGAAGATTGGCAACAGTTGTTAGCTCAGGTGCCAATCTTAAAAAAAAAACAAAACTCACTGAGCCATAAACACTATCTGTTCATTTAACCGAATGTAATTATGCTTTGAGTTTAAAATTTAATGGCTTATCCCTCAATTTTCGCAAATTCCATTGATAACAGTCTGCCTTATAACAGAATAATTTAGACATATTTCTGTCTGCCCAACATATTATCTTTGCATTTGCTAACAATTTTTTTACAGGTATTGTAAGCCTGGTAAATGTGTATTGAGGTAGATTGGATTCAGTTGTGGAGGCAGTTTGGGGAATTCCTAATCAATGAGGAGCAAATTTACTTAGGTTTGTTTAAAACTCACTTTTAAAAGAGTTACTACATCTAGAGGTGTGTGGATATGCATTATATGTAATGAAAAAGCTATTAAATGTCAACACAAGTAGACATCTATGCTCTTCAAGATAGTTTAATAAAAAAATATACAAAAATAAAAAGAAGTAATATAAACAAGATTTAAACTAGACATTTTCTGGTTCTTTCTCTTAATGATAACTGAATTCTCATACCTATACATATTGTAGCTATGTGTCTACATGTTTGAACTTTACTATTAGATAATTAAGGGCAGAGATCACATTATGCAGTTTGGTATCAAAGACTGATATTCACTGGTGGACTAGAAAGGCTAGCGTGGTTGTTAAAATATTGAGATCCTGGACTTACACGCTAGTTGCAGAAGAGCCCCTGCCCTGAACCTCTTAAGTAACCTCTGCTTCACTGACTGCCCTGGTCTCTCTCTGTTAGCTCCCAGCAGCTGAACGTTTGATACAGACAGCAGACCCTATTCCAGCACTCCACTCCCATTTTGATGTAGTCAGTGCCCATGCCATCCTCATTATTTATTTTCAATATACCCCTAGCCTATTGCAATGTATTTTAAACTATGGGCCATGACCCATTACTGGATTTTAAAATCAGTTTGGTGGATCAAGACCAGAATTATATTAAAAATGGAAAAGAATAAAAATAGAACAGAAATAGAGTGTATCACATAGTGAGGATAAGTATATTTCATGAAATATATATATGAAATATGTGTGGTTGTGTGTGTTATGGTATAAAATGTATTTGTTTCTGTGCTTTAGGCAAAGAGTTTGAAACACATTCCCCTATCATTACATGTGGAGGAAAATGAATGAATGAATATCTGGGTGAATGAACAAATTGGATCTTTATCACTTGATTATGACAAAGGAAACAAATATTAGGTAAAATTTCTGTTTTAACTCCACACTCCTGGATGACATCTAAGCATGAAAACAGTAGTTATTGTATATCCTTCATTCAGTAAAATTTTATAACATGCCAGCCACATCAGTTTTCCAAGTGCCAAGCAGAACTATGTGGGCAAAAAATATTTCTTCAGTATTATTAAGATCATACTTTCAGTGGCTGTCCAGGGGCATCGTGGTTAAATTTGCGCACTCTGCTTTGGCAGCCCAGGGTTCACAGGTTCGGATCCTGGGTGCAGACCTAGCACTGCTTGTCAAGCCATGCTGTGGCGGCGTCCAACATGAAAATGGAGGAAAATTGGCACAGATATTAGCTTAGCAACAGTCTTCCTCAAGCGAAAAAAAAAAAAAGGAAGATTGGCAACAGATATTAGCTCAGGGTCAATCTTTATCAAAAAAGAAAAAAATCGCACTTTCAGACATCTGTTGAATCATTAAGGTGAGGTTGGTTATTGGGTCAAAATACTTTAAGTTGCAAGTAAAAGACAAACAGACTTAGATAATAAAGGGAATTTATTGCCTCAAATAATTGAGTAGCTCATGCTTGCGGTATGGTCTGATCAGATGGTAACCCTGTTTCAGTAAGTCTCTCTGTTTTG